AGTGGAAGAGGAGAATCAGGCAGTCTGAGTCTTAACCAAGATGTTCAGCTGACAGTCAGTAGAGGCAAACTCTACGCTTACCAATAATGTGAGTGGAAACACCTGAAAATTAAAATAAAGACACAGTATTGTTTTCTAAAAAGACCGATGTAGTAATTATTTGGAATAGGCTCTATTAGGCACTTCACAAATATTAACTGACATGGGTACCATTATTAAGCCCATTTTACACATAAGGAAGCGGAGGCACAGAGCAATTAGAAAGGTTCTCTAGGGTTAGACAGGCAGGAATAGCAGGACTAGATTCGTACCCATGCCCCTATGCCACACTGCCTCATAGGTAAACACAAGCAGATGGTCTCCTGTGATCTCTGGCTTCATTAATTCACTGCCAAATAAAAGCAAACTCAGATTTAGTTAGGAAAGATTTTACTCAAAAGGATTATTGCAGTAGAGGGAATGTTCTAACCACATAATCTCCAAGTGTCTCAAGATGAGGCAGTAAATGTTTTGTGTTGCTAAAGAGGCATAAACAAGGCTAGAAAGAAGTGGGTGTTGGGGGCTGGGATGATCAGAGTGACACAATCAGACAGACATTGAGGGCTGATCAGGAAGGTCTGTAAAGACGACTTGTCTGCTGGCTCAGGCTGAGGGTGGCCCAGGACCTGGGGAAAGGAGAGAAACTACACCAAAGTTAGGTTAACAAACACTTTGTTCTGACCGACCAGTGGAAACAGGCAGTTCAACGAACCACAAAAACAAAGAAAGGGAGTTTGGAGGCTCTGGGTCTGGCCTTGTCATAGGTACACAAGTGGGAGCATCTGTGAGTCTCATCTAAGTCATATGGGGAAGGGAGTTATTTGCAGTGAGCTGCTTCCCAGAACACAAAAGGGTGGGGACATTTGTTAACCTTTGCAGTTTTCCAGGATTACAGGGCTTGTCTAAAGTTCAACACTGTCATCACCTGTAGGCTCTTCCAAGGAACTTTCCTAAGAGAGTCAGATCCTAGGCTCATGAAGCTGCTCAAAGGCACTGCCTTCCAAAATGTGACAAATTATCCTCTGCTCAGAGGAAAAGGAGTCAAGATCACAATGTCTCCTCCTTGCTCTCATCCCTTTACCTACCGCACTGGCTTGTTACACTCAGTATAATGTTTTCAATGTTCGTACTGTAGCAAGCCTAGAAACTTCATTCCTTTCTGTGGCTTAATAATATCCCACTGTTGGATATACCATATTTTTTATCCATTCATTAGTTGATGGATGTTTGGTTAGTTTCCTTTTTTCTGTTATTGTGAATAATGCTTCTATGAGCATTCGTGTACAGGTTTTTGCAGAAACATATATTTTCATTTCTCTTGGGTACACACCTAGGAGCAGAATTGCTAGGTCATCTGGTAACATTACATTTAACCTTTTGAGGACTGTTTTCCAAAGCAGAGATAACTAGTTTTAGTGTCTGCAGTAAGTGAAAAAGATGGAGTTTAGGAAAGATACTGAAACTAACTTGAGAAAGAAGAGGGATTATTATGAGGATGTGGAATTTCTTAAGACACACATGGGGAAGAGGTCACTTGAGGTTTACCAGAGACTGAAAAGTTATCATGAGCCAAGAAGATGCTCGTCTATGTCTGTGGACAACATCCGACCTCAGACTCTGCTCTTATTTGTAGCTTTGCCTCTTGTTACTCTTCAAGAGGACTTAGCCCATATCTCCATGTGCATGAAGGAAGACAGACCCCCAGACCCCCATTTGCTATTGAGTTTAATGTCCTTCTGGGTCAGACAGTATTGGACACTGCTTTGGATCTTGCAGCCACAACCCCACATTTCTGAAAGAGAAAAGCTGGTTGACTCTGGTCCAATCAGCCTTAGACAAGTGGTGGAGTTACACAGGACAATTACAACCTTATGGACGGACCCCCTGTGGGGAAGGGGAAGCTCTCAGCATCATGTGTGGAGGCATACAGTGTTGAACACATCAAAGTGTTTGTGGGATGCAAGGTCAAAGGAAGGACTGGAAAGTGCAAAGTTCATGATTCTCATGTGGAATTGGGGAGCAGATGATGGACTTCAGGTTTGGATACAGGTGACAGTTTGCATGCCTTCATGGTCAGCAGCTCTAATTGGGTGGATGACCCTTTTCCTCCTGTCTTAGGTCTCTAGACAGCAGCAGACACCCTGGTTGGGTGTTTATATGCCCTGTAGAGTCAAGGTCATGGTCTTCATCTCTGCACTGCAGAGCAGTTTTCTTCTCTGTGCAGAAGGAATATGCTGGGCATCCTGATATCACACAAGCCTCTAAGGGGAACTGGGTGCTTTAAAATCCATGCCTCCCATATATCTAGCTGTGCCAATAATAAGGCAGAAGCATAAGGTATGGTACATCATAAAATGGGAGAGGCTGTCCATGAAACTCTTGGCCTCACCCAGCAGGGTGTGTATAACCAGGCTCTAGGTACTTTTCACTTCAACCTGGTTCAAAGTTAGTTATTTTCAGGTTAATTCATATCCTTTCTTACAGACCACAAGAGGATCATCCTGGGATTAGCTTGCCCAAACCTCCCTTCTCTGCTCACACAGATGAAGGAGAAGGTGGCTGGTCCAGTATGACAGTGACTGGTGAACTTGGATTTAGGATCCAACAAAGAGTCCAAGTTGATCCCTACCATCTGTGTGATCTTGGCATCTCTTGTTTTCAGTTCCCTCATCTGTAAGATAGGAAGGATAATTTCTACTGTAGACATTTCGGGAATAATTTTATAGGATAGACTTGACCACCAGTGGTATTTAGGGGATTCCAGGGAGACCCACACAGCATTGGTCTGCTGACTGGTGAACTTGCCAGTGCTCAGCTTCTGGCCTCAGCACTGTGGATCCAGAAGTTGGATTTGTCCAGCAACAGGTCCATTTCTTCAGGAACTGGGCTCACAAAATGGTTATACACACATATTATTATGTATTTGTACCAGAATTCTAATGCATTAATTTACATTAAGGCAGGTGTCTATCACATGGTCCAGACACTTGCATCTGTCTCAGTTGGTACCATCTCCTCTTCTGGCCAGCCCCAGGGAGGAAACCACTTACACTCAAGGGCTATTTACTGAGCACCGACACACATGGAGACATAAGAAGGAAGGAGATGGAGCAAACGTTAAACGCAATCAGTGATGGCAACCAGAGGCATTCATCTCTTAATGGTGTCAGAAGGACAGGAGCACACACACCTTTTGTCATGACTATCATTCTCTCTCTGGCAGTGTTTGCAGATGCCAACCATGCTAGACTTTCTCTCTCTTTTCCACCCTTTTCTACACTTAGAGGGCTGGCCAATCTCCATTCTAATTAGCATAGCCTTTAAAAAAAGAAAAAAGTACTTTCTTGTAGCAAAAATGGTAAACATTACAAGATAAGGTCCCCCACCATTCTGCCTCTCTTCCTAAGGGGAACTTAGGGATCTCTCCTTCCAAATTCTTTTTTGTTTGTTTGCTTTTACATTTCCACACCTTGGTATGTATAGAATCAACTCTCCTCCTTTTTTGCATTAAATTGGATTTTATTAATTATTATTATACCGCAAGTTATTTTATTTCACTTAACAAAGCATCTTGGAGCAATATCCATGTCATTTTGGATAGTTCTATTCCATCTTTAAAACTGCTTTGTCGTATTCCATTTTATGTACCATAATTTATGTAACCATTCTCCTATTCATGGACATTTAATTCCTTCTTTTGCTCTTACACCGTGCTATAAAGAACATCATTTATGTACCTGCAAGTATTTCTCTAGGATGAATACTGAGACTTTTGGGGTCAAAAGATAGGCGAATTCACATTGGCTGATTTTAGTCCTGCACATGTTTATCAACAGTGTATGTGAACACCTGTCCTCTCTTTGCGGACAGTAGATTTCAGGCCCCTGTTGTTAGCTTGGAAGCAAGATCTCTTTTCTGCGCACTCGCATACTGATCTTTGAGTTGATTCTCTGCATGTACTCTAATTTTCCTTATTTCCCAATTCTTGGCAGGGATGTCTGGCTACTGACAAAAGAGATCCCTGCAGGAGTCCAAGGAAGATCACATGACACAGGCAATGTGAAATACTCTCTCATTAAAAGGAGAAAGACATTAACTGTTATTTGTTTATCATGGTGTATGTAGCTCAAAGGGTGATTTAATGTTCACGTTATCTTCAACTTGGGAATTTCAGACATCTACATTTTGCACTTGTGGGTATAAAACACTCTTTCCAGGGTCCCTAATACCCTCTTGGCTGGGTGGGTACACTCCTATCTCAAATTCTGAGAAGCTTAAGTCATACTCTGTGTATTACATTACTCTCCATTTTCACAGAGCAATGCAATTAGGGCTTTCTATTTGGTTTCTGTTGTAACTTTCTTTCTAGGCTTGACGTCTATTCCATAGCTCAGGGTCAGTCCTAGACAGGAAAAAAGGCCCAGGAGGGTGAGAAACACAGGTGGCCATGAACTTTTAACTTTTATAATCCAGAATGAACTTGCCCCTGTGGGCAGCCTCTGTTATCGCCCTGTGTCTCCATAAGGCAAAACCAAGTCCAAAGTATGAGTTTGTAATGAATGTTTGACTGAAAGTTTTAGAGTGAGTGAGGTTACATCAAACACTACACATTGCAGATTACTAAAACTACTTCCATTAGATGTCTTGGTTTTCCTTCCCAATTTCTTTGGCCAGCAGCCACTCCTGGACTACCCTTCCCCCAAAACCTTTCTCTTTCCACCTATGCCCACCCACCACCCCTCAGTTCTACATTATGTCCCTTTCTTTATATGGAGAAATGTATCTGTGTGGCTTGGCTTCTCCTCCCACCTCCCCACTTAGCACATAAAGAAACTTCCTCAGGAATCCCTCTCTTCAGAGAGCATGGAGAATCCTAAACAACGTAATATGTTTTCCTTGTTAAATATTTTCTCTTGTCACTGTGGTTTGAACTCACTCCCTACTCCCCTGACCCTATGCAGGTGGTGATTGTGGGCTTGGTCACGCTTTGTGCAAGTATCTGGATGAGCTGGGCTTCACGGTATTCGCCGGAGTTTTGAATGAAAATGGCCCAGGAGCTGAGGAATTGCGAAGAACCTGCTCCCCGCGCCTCTCGGTGCTCCAAATGGACGTCACGAAGCCAGTGCAGATAAAAGATGCTTACAGCAAGGTTGCAGCAATGCTGCAGGACAGAGGTACTGCCGCCAGCACCCTCAGTGCCTTTACCCTCCTCCTGAACACCCAGTTCTTGTTCCAGCTTGGGTTGATCATGCCCCCTACTCCACTCAGGCCACTGCTTGCACTGGAACACACCTGTGCTGAACCCCTACCATGTGTGGGGGCCTCTATCAACACGAAGACCTTCGGAGTAACTCAGACATGGGCCCATCCACACAGAACTGACAGAAACCTCTATCTCATTCTCACCAACTTCTCAGTCACTCTTCCATGAACAACTCCACCAGCCCCAGCTCATTGCTTTCCTGTCTACAATAGCAACATGCATTAGAGTCCCCAGCTTAGAAGAAAAATACCTTCATGGTCACTGTCCTCCTTTACCCATTACCCCTCCTCTTCTCTTTCCTTCATGGCCAAGCTCCATGGAACCCTGTAGCTCTCTGATTCTCTTCCTCACCTTCAATTTGATGTTGGTTCTCACTCTGCCTCCCTAACTAATCTGGCAAAGCTAATCAGTATTAGCCTGAAGACCTAGTTGGTTTTTTTTTTTTTTTTTTTCAACTTTTATTTTAAATTCTGGGTTACACGTGCAGGATGTGCTGGTTTGTTACATAGGTAAACATGTGCCATGGTGGTTTGCTGCACAGATCCACCCACCCTGTAGGTATTGAGCCCAGGATTCATTAGCTATTATTCCTGAAGCTCTACCTCCCCTCCCTACAACAGGCCCCAGTGTGGGTTGTTCCCCATCATGCGTCCATGTGTTCTCATTGTTCAGCCCCCACTTACAAGTGAGAACATGAGGTGTTTGATTTTCTGTTCCTGCTTTAGTTTGCTGAGGATAATGGCTTTCAGCTCCATCCATGTCCCTGCAAAGGATATGATCTCATTCTTTTTAATGGCTGCATAGTATTCCATGGTGTATATGTACACATCTTCTTTATCCAGTCTATCATCGATGGGCGTTTGGGTTGATTCCATGTCTTCACTATCGTGAATAGGGCTGCAACGAACCTACATGTGAATCATCTTTATAATAGAATGGTTTATATTCCTTTGGATGTATACCCAGTAATGGGATTGCTGGAAGACCCAGGTTGTAACTTCCCTGCAGTATTTAAGCATGTTGTTTATACTGTCCTCCATGGCTTTGGGGTCCCCAGCCCCCATTGCTCTCCTAGTTCTCCAATCTTTCTTTCCACTTCTCCTGGATGAAACTTTGCCTCTGTCTCCCCACAAATACAAATGCTACTGAGGGCTGCATCCCCAGACTTCCCACTCCATGTGTCTGGGGCCATACCATTTGCTTCCTATACCGAGAGTTCTCAATCCAGCTGCACATTAGAATCATTTGAAAATTACCCATGCTGGGGTTCAGGATGGGCTATGTAACTTGGCAGACCCAAAGCAATATGAAAATATGGGGCCCCTAGTTTGAGTTTGGAAAATTATTAGGAATGTAAGATGGTGACAGCAGAGACTGAAACCACATACAGGACCCTTCTGAAGCACCAGGCCCTGTGTGACTGAACAGATCCCCCAAACCCAATTAAATCTGTCCCTAGGATGGAATCCCAGGTATCATTAGTTTTTAAAGCTCCCAATGTGATGCTTATGTTAGGGCAGGGCCAAAAAACACTGGTTTATACCAATAACTCCCAAATATACTAATATATTACCAACCTAACCCTTCTTCTCCACGTATACAAAGTTATCTACCAGACATCTTCCCTTATACTCCAGAGGCTTCAACTTCAACATGTCAAAAACTGCTCATTGTTTTTTTATTCCCTGCTGCCATTCTGCAAATCGTTTTGCTCTCCTGCATCCCACAGCTCCGACACTGGCACTACCACCTAACCAGTCATTCAAGCCGGAAACCTGTGGGTCACTGAAACCCTCAGCTTATCCTCAATGCCTGTATCCTACTGACCCTAGTCCTGTCAAGTCTACCACCTGGGTAGTTACCTTCCAGCTCCTTCCTACCATTGCATAGCGCTATGACTTAGCACTGCATGCACTGGACCCTCACCTTCTTCCACCTGGGCTATCCCAATGGCCTCCTTGGATATCCCAATTGGCTATCCCAATGGCAACCCATCTTTCCTTCCCCATTACTTTCCAGAGACTAATCTTCACAGCATTCACATTTTACAATGCCATCCATCTCCTAAAATCCTTTAGACATACAGAGCCTCCATGCACAGGGGTCTTCCCATGTGGCATGCCTGTGGTGGGGAATTTGTTTTATCAGTGGTTTGTTGGTTCCCTATCAGTGGTTCCCTATCTAAACACCTTAACAAGGATTAGAGGTCCTTTCAGGATAATGGCTCCTGCCAAACCCTTAATCTGCAATACCTGCTGGTTCACTTAGTAAATTCTGAAGAGTTTCTGGAACAGAATGTTCTACTTTACATCTCTGCACATCTGGCTTCCTGTTACAGGAATTCCCCTCCCACTCCCACTCCTTTTCCCTAAGACTCTTGCCTTTGTCCAGTGGCAGACTCTAATCCCACGGGAGACCTGGCTCACACGTAACACCTCTTGCATGGTCTTCCAGGTGTCACAGGTTGTGTTATTCACTTACTCTTCCAGACACTCACTCATTATGGTTTTCTGTCTCCAGGACTGTGGGCTGTGGTCAACAATGCTGGGGTGCTTGGCTTTCCATCTGATGGGGAGCTTCTTCCTATGACTGACTACAAACAATGCATGGCCGTGAACTTCTTTGGAACTGTGGAGGTCACAAAGACATTTTTGCCTCTTCTTAGGAAATCCAAAGGAAGGCTGGTGAATGTCAGCAGCATGGGAGGTGAGTCAGCATTTTCACACGTGGTCATGGGGTGCCCATCACAAGACATGGCTCATGGCATTCTTTGTGGGCTGAATAAAAAAGCAGGGCATGCAAAGGCAGGGCTGGGTCAGGATTAGTCAAATTGTTTATCCCCTGTTGACTTTCACACAATAAAACCTTTCTCCTCTTCCAAATTCTTTCAGGTACAAACTCTCATCTGCCTTCTAACTTATCCATTTATTACTGGGGATTTAGGGTTCATATATATCTTCATAATGTGACTGCCAACACACAAGGTTGCTAGATTTGCACAGGAAATCTCACATTACAAATAATGTCAGCATTTCAGGCAATCTGTTTTCAACACTTCGTCAATTTAACACACTGTGTTCAGTTCCCTGTAAGCTGAGTAGGCCATACTTTCCCTCTGTTCATGCCGTCAAACACAAGCTGCCTGCTATTGTTAACCTGAAGATTATCCCCAGTGTTGAGCAGCCTCAACCCAGCTGGGTCAGGATGTGATGACAATGGATGGTTTGTCTCTCTGTTTCCAAGAACAAATAGTACACAACTTGAGTCAAGGACTGAACAGTCTTGCCTTTTCGTAAACAATGCCCATGTGTGTCATACAGCACCCTCTTTGCTGGGACGGACATTTTCAAACTGGGGTTCCTCGGGCTTTTATTCAGTCTGGGGAAGATCCATGGACCTGACTTTTGGGTCACTGGGTCACTGCAGAGGTGAGAGGGAAGCCAAAGGGATGGGCTCTGGACTCTAGGACCCTGCCTTCAAGTAGAAGAGTACCACTCTTCACTGTTGGATCAATTAATTCTCAGTAAAATTTCTTAAAATAAAGGATACGACTAGGCTGTTTTTGTTTGTTTGCTTGATTTTTGTGTTTTGTGCTTTTTTTTTTTTGGTAATGTGAATATCAGTTCTAGAATGATTTGGTGGGGGAGGGGGTTCTTCGTATTTCCTAGACAAATATTGTTGTCCATCACATTCTATTTTCTGGCTTTAACTCAGTAATTTTCTTAAAACTAACTGCTATTGTCTTTGACTAGAGTGTTGGTTGGCCTGAGGCATAAGCAAAGAAGAAGGTAGGGAGAGAGAGAGGGAGAGAGAGAGAGAGAGAGAGAGAAAGAGAGAGCTGGGGGAGACAAAGGTTTCTCCAGGATGGTTAGGAGCCATGAGTATTATATTTTAGCTGTGTGAGAATCCTAAAGTATTTCCAATTTCCTGCTACCTTGCCGAAGCAAATGAATCCTGAGAAAACACACAGCAATATTTTCCTAATCTTTGTTCTGAAAGCCTTTACAATTTTGGCCTGTGTGGAAGCCTCACCTTTCTCGTTTCCCTGGAACAGTCTAGTACTTCTGGGAAAGTCTCACAGACTCTATGCCTCACTTATATAATAAATATTTACTGAAATAACAGAGTACTACCCCCTCCTTGGCACGTTGACAAGGAGGTTTCTCTTTTTTTCTCTGTTCTCAACTTTGAGCAACACCTTCATGCATATGAGATCACTTTAGTTATTGCCAAAATGTGGAGTATGTGCTGTAGGCCCAGTGTCTGGCATGCAGCAGCAACTCAGTTAATCAATGAAGAAAGGCAAGTGTGTGAACAAGTGAAAAATGGAAAATGGATTAATGAATGGGTAAGCAAAGAGCTTAAAATACAAGGCTAGGTGTGGTGGCTCAAGGATATAACTCCAGCACTTTGGAAGGCCAAGGCAGGAGGATTAGTTGAGCCCAGGAGTTTGACACCAGCCTGGGCAACATAGTGAGATCTCGTCTGTACAAAAACAAACAAACAAAAAAAACCAGGCATGGTGGCATGTGCCTGTAGTCTCAGCTACTCAGAAGGCTGAGATGAATCAGTTGAGCCTGGGAGGTCGAGGCTACAGTGAGCTGTGTTCATGCCACTGTTCATGCCTGGGTGACAGAGTGAGACCCTCTCTCAAAAAATAACTTATAATACAGAGCATACACCTCCACATATCTTCGACTTGGCCTCTAAAGGTCTTTCCAAGCCAGAATTCCTTACTCTGTTGTCATGTATTTTTATTGAAGGGAAACCCTGAATGCCAAAATAAATAATGTATCTCACTCTTATTCTCACCCTCTGGTTGTGCAAATTCATTACACCCAGCTATGTCCATCTATTTTCTTCAGATCATCACCAAGTTAACCTATCTGAAACAAAACTTGCTGTCAGCCCTCCAGAATGCCTAGAAATACAGCTAACTAGGGAGGTGAAAGATCTCTACAAGGAAAACTACAAAACGCTGCTCAAAGAAGTTGGAGATGACACAAACAAATGGAAAAACATCTCATGTTCATGGATAAGAATCAATATAGTTAAAATGGCCACTCTGCCCAAAGCAATTTATAGATTCAATGCTATTCCTATTAAACTACCATTGAGGTTCTTCACGGAACGAGAAAAAAAGATTTAAAAATTCATATGGAACCAAAAAAGAGCATGAATAGCCAAGGCACCACTAATTAAAAAGAAAAAAGCTGCAGGCATCACACTACCTGACTTCAAACTATACTACAGGGCTACCTGTAAGCAAAACAGCATGGTCCTGGTACAAAAGCAGATACAAAGATCAATGGAACAGAATAGAGTACCCAGAAATAAAGCAATACACCTACGACTATCTGACCTTCAACAAACCTGACAAAAACAAGCAATGGGGGTAAGGATTCCCTATTCAATAAATGATGCTGGGGTAACTGGCTAGCCATAGGCAGAACATTGAAACTGGACCCTGACTTCTTTCTGTCCTAGTCTTTTGAGTTTCAGAGCTTTGAGTCATCTTGGATTTGTTTTTCCCCATGCCTCTCTCTTCTTTCTCCCACCCACTCACCAAGATGTATGAAGTTTTCCTTCACCACAACCAGCTTTGAAACTTCATGTCCCAGAGACACTCTAGAAATGAGTTTATTTGTAGGACTCAGAAACCACCCAATGTACTTTACAAAGCTGTTAAAACAGTAGCAAGAAATCAGAAGAGATGGGAGGCGTATGTACTCCACAGGGCCGGGAGTTTGTGTAAAGACAGAAACAAAGCAATGTCCAGAGAGGAAAAAGATATTTCATGCAAACGGAAACCAAAAAGATCAGGAGTAGTCATACTTATATCAGGAAAAATAGATTTCAAGACCAAAACCATAAAAAGAGACAAAGAAGGTCATTATATAGTCATAAAGGTGTTCATTCAGCATGGGGATATAACCATTGTAAATATACATGCACCCAACACCAGAGCACCCAGATGTATAAAGGAAATATTATTAGAGCTAAACAGAGAGATAGACCTCAATACATTAATAGCTGGAGACTTCAATACTCCACTTTCAGCTTTGGATAGATCACCCAGGCAGAAAATTAACAAAGAAACATCAAACTTAATCTGCACTATAGACCAAAGAGACCTAATTGTTATTTACAGAACATTTTATCCAAAGGCTGCAGAATACGCATTCTTCTCCTGAGCTCATGGATCGTTCTCAAGGATAGACCACATGTTAGGCCACAAAATAAGTCTTAAAACATTTTAAAAAATGAAATAATATCAAGCATCTTCTCTGACCACAATGGACCAAAACTAGAAATAAAAAATAAGAGGAATTTTGGAAACTATACAAGCGCATGGAAATTAAACAATATGTTTCTGAGTGACCAGTAGGTCAATGAAAAAATTAAGAAGAAAATTTAAAAATTTCTCAAAATAAATGATAATGGAAAGTAAACATCCCAAAACCCATGGGATGTGATGAAAGTAGTACTAAGAGGGAAGCTGGTAGCTATAAGTGCCTACATTAAAAAAGTAGAAACGCTTCAAGTAAACAACATAGTGATGCATCTCAAAAAACTAGAAAAGCAAGAGCAAACCAACCTCAAAATTAGTAGAAGAAAAGAAATCATAAATATCAGAGAACAAATACATAAAATTGAAATGAAAACAATACAAAAGATCAACAAAATGAAAAGTTGGTTTCTGGAAAAGATAAACAAAATTGACAAACGTTTAATGAGAGTAAGAACAAAAGAGAGAAGACCCAATAAAATCAGAGATGACAAAGGAGACATTACAACCAATACCACAGAAACTTGAAGGATCATTAGAGGCTACAATGAGTAACTAACTATATGCCAATAAATTGGAGAACCTAGAAGAGATGGATAAATTCTTACAGAGAGCCTACCAAGATTGAACCATGAAGGAATCCAAAACCTGAACGGACAAATAACAAGTAACGAGTTCAAAGCTGTAGTAAAAAGTCTGCAAGCAAAGAAAAGGCTGGGACCTCATGGCTTCACTGCTGAATTTTACAAAACTTTTAAAGAAGAACTAATATCAATTCTACTCAAGTATTCTGAAAAATAGTGGTGGAGGGAATACTTCCAAACTCATCCTACGAGACCTATATTGTTCTGATAGCAAAACCAGAAAATACATGTTAAGAAAAACAACAACAACAACAGCAACAAAAACTACAGGCCAAGATACCTCATGAACATTGATGTAAAAATCCTTAACAAAATACTAGCAAACTGAATTCAACAGCACATTAAAAAGATCATTCATTGTGACTAAGTGGGATTTATCCTAGGGATGCAGAGATGGTTCAACATTTACACAAATCAATCAGAGTGATACATAATCTCAACAGAATGAAGGACAAAACCATATGATAATTTCAGTTGATGCTAAGAAAAGCATCTGATAAAATTCAACATCCCTGCATGATAAAACCCCTCAATTTAAAAAAAACTGTGTATAGAAGGAACACACCTCAACCTAACAAAAGCCATATACAATAGACCTATAGCTAGTGTCATACTGAATGGGAACAAACTGAAATCCTTTCCCCTAAAATCCAGAACATGACAAGGATGCCCACTTTCACCACTGTTATTCTACATAATACTGGAAGTCCTGGCTAGTGCAAGCAGACAAAAGAAAGAAAGAAAAAGCATCCAAGTTGGAAAGGAATAAGTTG